ATACCTCACTTCTCAGAGCATGGTACTTGACCAACAACATCAGCTACATCTGGGAGAGTATTAGCAATCCAAAGTCTTGGTCCTGCTCCAGACAGACCAAATCAAAATCTGCACACTTTGCAAGGTATCCCACCATAGGGAATGGGATCCAAAAAGCCAGTTCATGCACCCAGGATAAGTTCTGGTCCCACTGTCAGAGGCCCATCCAACAGATCAAGCCACATAACTGTCACCTACATTCAGAGGGCTTAGTTTAGTCACATACAAGATCCCTAGCTGTCAGTCCAGAATCTGCAAGCTCCCACTGGCTTGGGTCAGCTGTGGTTTTCCCAATTATGATCTTGACCCCTCTTGCTCATATGGTCCCTCTTCCCTCTTTTCAACTAAGTTCCAGGAGTTCAGTCTAGTGCTTGGCTGTGGATCACTGCATCTGCTTCCATTAGTTACTGGATGTAGGTTCTATGATGACAATTAGTTACTAATCTGATTATAGGGGAAGGCCAGTTCAGGCAACCTCTCCACTATTGCTAGGAGTCTTAGCTGGGGACATCCTTGTGGATTCCTGGGAATTTTCCTAGCACCTGGTTTCTCCCTAACCCCATAATGCCTCCCTCTATCAAGATATATCTTTCATTGTTTCCCCCACCTAGACCTTCTTGAGCCCTCAAGTTCCCATCCCTCATCCCCTCCCTTCTACTCCCCTTACCAGTTTGCCCAGAAGATCTTAACTTTCCCTTTCCTGGGGCCTTCATGTGGCCTGCATTTTACCTGGCTTCTCTAGGGTTGTGGATTGTAGCCTGGTTATTCTTTGCTTTACATCTAATATCAACTTTATGGGTGAGTATGTGTTTGTCTTTCTGGGTCTGGGTTACCATCACAAAGGATTTTTTTTTTCTAATTACATCCATTTGCCTGCAAATTTCAAGATGCCATTGTTTTTTACTACTGAGTAATACATCATTGTGTAAATGTACCACATTTGCATCAAAAAACACTGATGACATCTTATGCTGGAGAGGATGTGGAGTAAGGGGAACACCCCTCCACTGCTGGTGGGAGTGCAAACTGGTACAGCCACTTTGGAAATCAGTATGGCGGTCTCTCAGGAAATTGGGACTCAATCTACCTCAAGACCAAGCAATACCACTCCTAGGCATATACCCAAAGGGTGTACAATTTTACCACAAAGGCATTTGCTCAACTATGTTAACTATGTTCATAGCAGTATTGTCCATAATAGCCAGAACCTTAAAACAACCTAGATACTCCTCAAAGAATGGAGAAGAAAAATGTGGTACATTTACACAAGGGAGTATTGCTTAGCAGTAAAAACAATGACATCTTAAAATTTGAAGGCAAATGGACAGAACTAGGAAAAAAAAAAAACATCCTAAGTGAGATAACCCAGACCCAGAAAGACAAATACAATATGTACTCACTCGTAAGTGGATATTAGACACAAAACAAAGGATAAGTAGACTACAGTCCACAATCCTAGAGAAAATGGACAACAAAGAGGACCCTAAGAGAGACACACATGGATTTACCTAGGAAGGGGAAAAAGACAAGATCTCCTGAGTAAATTGGGAATGTGGGGGGCAGGAGGAGGGTGGAAGAGGATGGGGGGAAGGAATGGGAGTGGGGAAAATGTATAGCTCAATAAAAACAATAGGAAAATAAAATTTACTATTTCTGTCGTTTAAAAAAAACTCTAGACACTTTTACAGGATACGCAGATAATTCTCATGCATACTGAGACATGAAAAGCACTAACTTAATGGGCTCTGGGTTGACAGAGGTTTCAGTCCTGCCAGGTCCCTCAGCCATTCAGTCCCAAAGAAACACACAGAAGCCTATATTAATTATAAACTGATTGGCCTATTCACTCAGGCTTTCTTATTAACTAACTCTTAAATCTTATATTAACCAATAATTTTTGTCTGTGTTATACACATGGCTTGGTACCTTTATCAGTGAGGCATTCTCATCTTGTGTCCTCTGCGTCTGAGTGACGACTGCAGACTGAGCAGAATTCTCCTCTTCTTGTCACCCTGCCTATACTTCCTGTCTGCTGACTGGCCAATCAACATTTTATTAACCAATACAAGTGGCAAATCTTTACAGGGTACAAGACCATAGTCCCACAGCAGCTCTGACTGATGGAAAGAGTCTCCTATTTCTATTTTCCTCCATTTGTTCAGCAAGCACTTAAAGATCAAGCTGGCTTAGAGCCGGGGAACTGGAGCATAGAAGACCTTGACAGAGAGAGCAAATTTTGCTAGCGGAAAAAGAGAAAACAAGTGAGATTTTACAGATCATAAGGGACTGCAATCCACCTCCCAGAGATGAAGGGAATCATAGGTCCCTGTCAGAAGCGGACACAGTTCCAAACACTAGAGTGTGAGAAAATGGCAAAAATGGTTGATGAGAAAAAGCAGGCTGGATTCCCTCTCTACTCATTTTCACAACTGCAGTTCATTAGCCATTGTCCCAGAAAGCCTGGCCTTTCTCACTACTCAGACAGTACCTGCCCCCTCCCACTTCTCGCTGTCCTGATTGAGGGGGCTCCAGGACCCTAACCGGTTAGATAGGAACAATCAGCAGAAAGCAGCCAGCAGGAGACCTTACTGTCAGCATTGGTAAACACGTAGAAAATTCAACACGGCAGCATTTAAATGGCCTGGACAGTCTGGCTATTGTACCTGTGACTCTCACGAGCAGTTACTCAAACGACAGCTTCAGAAAGAGTTGCAAAGAGCCCCTTGACAATGGAACATGGGCAACTCAGAGCCCACGACAGGCTACAAGGTCAAACCCGACAGAACAAAGATCCCAAGCAGCATTAAATGACTTAATTATTCCGCCCTGCTCTGTACAAACTTGGGGAAACGTGACATCTTTTAAATTACCTCCCTGATAGGTAATATCCATGGTGCATGAAAAATGTTAGCAAAAGTCTTAAAAAGAGCAGAATGTTTTACAAGGCAGGGATTACAGTGTAGCCAGACTAAGATTCCCAGTTAGTTCTGCAAACAGCCCTGATAGCTGGGACTCTTAAGACAGAAGAAGAAATAGTCACATGAGGAAAGGAAAGTCTTGCCTTTTCTTACTCCCTTCTTCCTATTGCCCTTGATAAACTTGTCTGTATGCACAGGTTGGCCAGGCTTTCAGGTGGGAACACCTACCTCTCTGTTTACGTGGTGTGAGCACAAGTAATAACAGTCTAATATTACTCCCCAAGTACAGTGGTTTCCTGATAATATGTGGGGACTGTTTGTGTTCCGAGCCCCAATGGAACCAATATTCTTGTTGTTTTCAGCCTAGTGAGCTACAGAACTCTCACATGCCCAAGATTGTCATTGCACGGTGCTGCCATACACTAGGAAGAAAAAATACCAGGCATAACAATGTCTAAGTAATTCAGACTCAGGCAAACACGGTCAGAAAGCCTTGTAATGAGCAGCCTGCAGAGAGAAGCCGGGCCAGGACCAATGATGGGCAAGTAAAACACCCGATATACAAAACATGAGGATGTCCTTCCCTTGACTGACATGCGCCAACACTCAGAATACAGTTCCTTACATTTGAAATTTAGGCACTGAACCTGCTTTGTCCCCAATAGAAACCCAGTTCACAGGCTTCCTGGCACAATTTTCCCATTCGTTCCTCAACTCCTTGACACCCTGGGTGAGGAGACCCAGTGTCCATCAAAGAGGAAAAAAAAGAGACCATTCAGGAGAAAAACCTTGAGTGATTAATAATGAGCTTACAGCAAGGGGTCGGGTGAGAGATTAACCAAGTGAAAGCCAAGAAAAAGAGACTAGGGATCGCTGATGAGTGACCTGGCCGGGCCCTGGAGTGTGGGCCCAGATAGCAGGGAGATGAGATTGACCACAAGTGTTCTGTTCCCATTGGAAGTCAGGATCTTCACAAAGAGAAGCCTACCCTGCAACAGCTCCCTTCTCTTCTAGTATACACACACTTCTCTGGGGAGTAAACAAATTCTTTCCACCACCCTTCCTCCCAGTCCAGTCCACTGAGATTGGATCTTACCCTATCCATTTCCTCTCTGATAATCTCATAGCTTTGCTTCATCCCGTGACACCGTATACATACATACATGCAAGCAAAACAATGATGTACATAAAATAAAAATAAATAAATTATAAAGTTGTCAGGCTTGGCAGCAAGTATATTTTTCTTCAAAAAAAAAGTAGAATGGAATCTTATACTGCCATTAGATGCTGATATAATGATATAGAGTGTTTAATGTCATGTTAAAGATTTTAAACAGTGTCATCTACACTGTGATTCCCACTTTATAAAATTAGAGTACATTTACGTAAGAAATATGAAGAAACATGGGAAGAAAAAGGTTGGTATTTAAAGGTGATTGGATTTGTGAATGATTCATATACAGGCATTTTTTTCACCTGTTATGACATCTTGTAAAGAAAGAAAGGGAGAAGAATTGGAACATAGAAAACCTTCTATATGCCAGGCAAGACAGTGAGGTTTGGAATGACTCTTCATTCCCTGCCTTCCTCCTCATTCCTTTAAAGCAGTCTGCAGTCTCAACTCCAGAGGATATTTGGATTTCACGAAGCCCCCTGTTGAGAATACTGTACTGTGTGTATAATGGAACAGATCACACAAAGTCTTTGGTAATAAATCCAAAGTGCATTTGAACTTTTTTTTTTTTTTGGCATGAGAAGGGTACTTAGTTTTGAAGACTTGGCCTCATGCAACCAAGGCTGGCCTTGAACTTGCTATGAACATAAAGATGACCTAGAATTTCTGATCCTCTTCCCCCCACCACCCAAGTTCTGGGATGACAGGCATGCACCATCACTCCTGTGCATGCTAAGCAGGCCCTCTGCCTAGGCCCAGCTGTGGTATTATTGTCATGACGAACATGTGAAAATCTTGTTGACAGGAAATCATGTTTATTTTTCTCTTCCCCTAACCCTTTCTCTCTCTCCTCCTTCTTCTCTCTGCAGTTCTGCTAAGCCAATATTCTCTAGAATGAGCACAAAACAAGTCAAACAACAGCTAAACAAACAGCTTTGTACATCAACATCAAGAAGGAAGACACTTGGGAGAGACCAGAGTCCAGAGACGAATATGCACAAAGTCTACTTGTCGACACACCTGCTAATCTAGGTCAGCAGAGCTGCGGTGGTTTTCCGAGCGGAGCTACGACTACGGATTAAACACCAGCTCACTGGAAACTGTCATTAAATAAGATCAGATAACATTCATGAAAATCATAATCAGGAAATAGTTTAAGAAAGAAGAATACACACCTGCTAGAATTAACATGTAAAATACGTATGTACTGAGGTTTATAAGCTGTCCTTTTTAAATCAAACTGAAAACAAAAAAAAGCTTTAATCTTTCAATATTACTAAAAGAAACACAAGGGCAGTTAGTTCTAGATTATTCCTGTCTCAGTAGCCAAGAAGCTGATTAAGGGTCATTTATTGAGAAATGCCCCTGATCTTTGGTTCCTCAACATTATTGTCCACTCATTTCACTGTGCAATTAGTTACAACCACTTGGTTATTAAGAGGTGTAGCCCCTCAAACTTCCTGCCAAGTGTGTGTTCAGTTTAATCTGTCTGAGTCATCGCCAAGGAAATGTTTCTGCCGTGTGCTATGACTCCATCAAACTGTGAATACTAGGAAGTATACCGTCACATGATAGGTTCCCGTAGATGCCCCTGTCATTGATGAAACAGCATCAAGGAACTCTGAACAGTAAAGAAAGTTTCTTTTCACCTGGATGCTCTCTCATGTAATATACAGGCTGCTATCAAATAGACACCTTTTCTAGTTCCCCTCGAATATGCATAGGAATTTAATATACTTTACTAGTAGATACCTAAAATATGAGTTCTCTATTTCTTTATTCTGTATGTCATTAGAAACCCATATCCTTTAATTCCTTTACTGACATATACTCATTTTTGTTTTGATAAAAGAAATTGTTCCATTAAATCTACTTCTAAATAAGAGTAAGTGGTACTAACAAAATAAATAAAAACAACTTTATAGCCTTAGAAGTAAATAACTCTATACTTATACATGTCAAAAGGACTTGATAGAAATAAGTTACCTTTTGTTTATTAATGTTGATTTGGAAAGTTCTCATATGTTTTCTTTCCTTTGGGTTAGCCAATGATTGGTAGTAGTTACAACTCACCACCTGTCTTCAAGGATCTTTTCCCCCAGGTACCCCCAACCATTGCCCTCATAACATCTCCTGCTTAAATCCAACACCAGAGAAACGCTTAATATTGAAGTAGTTCTTTGTCTGAGGGTAAACACAAGCTGAGGTGCACATGAAGGGGGCTCTGTGGAAGAGCCCAGATTATATACCTGAGCACAAACACACACACACACACACACACACACACACACACACACACACATAGAATGTCTTCACTCACGGGCTCAGATAAGGTTGAATTCGCATTTGTCGCTAGAACATCAGGTGGAGCCTAACGTAGAATCAGGGTTTCCCTCTTTTGTGCTCACATAAAACCACATTCGTATTTTTAGCCATGTTTTCACCATGAGCCAAAGGTTTCAAATGGCTAAAAGTACATTACAGATACACTCAAGTGCTCAAGGAAGTAAAACCCAGTTCACAGAGGTGTGACTTTCCTAAAGAACTATATTAAGGGAACACTTGGTCTCTATAACTACAGTATAAGTCATTCTGGGGGCTCTTTGTTGTCCGGATGCATTCTAAATATCCTACTTACTAATTGAATTACACACAACTTTTACTTTGTTTCATTTTTCGAGACAGGGTTTCTCTGTGTAGCCCTGGCTATTCTGGAACTCTCTCTGTAGACCAGACTGGCCTCAAACTACACACAACTTCTTTTAAAATATCATCTTTTATTTAAGGGGAGACATCTCATAATCTACACTAAAAACAGAAGGTTTTAGACTCCTCTAACCTATGTAAACTATGGTTCTGTCTGGAGTCTTACATCACTAGCAGTAATGTTTAAAAAAATTAAAAGTTCTTCCTCGCCACATGAGAATTTCTTTAAGAGATTTTTGCCATGAAACCTAAGTGTAATTTAGCATACCACCGAGCTATGAAGATGGGTCATTGATGATATACCATTTGTACATAGATAATATACATGTAAATCACTAAATGTTAAGTATAAGAAGTATGTTTTTACCTTTCAAAAAAAAAGACTCCCTTTCTCATTCTGTTCCGTTATATTATGTCCAAAAGTTGTGTGCAATTTTTTTAAGGTCCAGGAAATGTAAAGAAATTTATTGGAATATCTGAATTTCTGTAAAAAAAATAAAAAATAAGATTTTGTTACTTAAAAAAATTGGTAGCATGTACACATTCATTTTCCTTTTTTGCCCCGTGATCCAGTGTTTTGTTTCTTCTTCTCGTTGCTGTTATCAAATACTTGGCTAACAGCAACTTAAGGGAGGATGGTTTTATTTTGGTTTACAATTAAAAAGGAACACGTTCAATCATGGAAGGTAAGTCATAGGACAGGTATTTCTCTGCAGGTCACATTGTATCTACAGTCGGGAAGCAGAGAGCAGGAAGGAAGTAGAGATACAACAGCCTCACAGCTACATAACCCCCTTCCTCTAGCAAATCTCTTCCTCCTAAAGGCTTCACGAACTTCTAAATGGTGGCAAGAGCTGGAGACCAAGCCTTTGAACATGTAAGCCTACAAGGGACATTTCAAATCCAAACCAGTGTGAATTAATGTCTTGTTCAGGGAAACTTCCTCTGCAAGTCTCCTACTCTTGGAAGTAAGCAGCTCTCCTCCACCTCATGTTCCCTGCCACGAGCTTCTTTCTTTCCACCTAGAAACAGTGGAACACAGCTGACCATGGCCTAAAACCTCCGGAACCATGAGGCAAAATAATTTTTTTTTCCTTTTAAGTTGCTTATTTCAGATATTTGGCACAGTGACCAAAACATTAAATATGAAAGAAATTACTTGTAACATAAGTTTCACCAATCAACCTCAGCAAGATATGCACTCGTGATTTCAAAATTGCTAAATACATCAATAAATCATAAGAAATAATTGATAGAAATAGCTAATAACAGGTGGATGGCCCCAAAGGTTTTAGATGCTGGAATTGCCAGGTAGTGGGTATAAAGTAGCCATAGTTGATGCACTAAGAAAATAAAAATGGCATCTGGAAGAAGCTGATAATACACCCAATAACACAGGTATCTGGTGTACATAAAGCTACACATATACCCCACTCAAAACAATGGAGTAAAATTTTCCTCTCCCAACAATCATTAATAACTCCCATTTTGTAATCAGTTTCCATTCTAACACACTACAGAACAAAGCGAGGTATGGAAGCCAGCTGGGCTATCGAGGTTTAGTTTGGGGTTAAGCCCATTAAACCTCTCAGAGTTCATAAAGCTTCACTATCGTAGGTGAAAACTGGCTAACCTCATTTTAAGGTAAATGCAGTTAATTAACTCCCTGTTACCTCTACATGTTCTTTATTCCTTGGGCGAAGAAGAGAGTGAAGGGGCAATCTCCACCAGGTCTTTAGTTTTCACAGACGTGGTCAAAAGTATTCCATAGGCAAAACAGTGATATCAACATGCATTTCAGAATCACCAAAAAAAAACAAACAGGTAGAACCTGACAAGACAGTGCCCCAGGAAAAGTGATACCACCCAGGAAGGGCCGGCATCCAAAGGGAGACACGACAGTCCAAACCATTAGATAAGGTTACCAAACCTCCCTGGACCCTGGGCTCACCCAAATTCAGACCTGTTTGTCGCTAAGGGCAATAAGGGCTCTGTCTTCCTCTCTTTTTGGAATTCCTACCTGGTCTGTTAGCAAAGGTAATTGTGGGACACTGACTTTATGTAGATTTGTTTGTTAGAACAAAGAGTGAGTGTTACCCACGAGAAGGTCATTTCATTGCCCATACAGTAGGAAGTCACACTGCTGAGGTATTTCGGGAATGACTCCCATTTTGAAGGGAGGAAACGCCATGATTTCACAAGACTTTTACAGAATTGACAGTGACTATCCGAAAGACGAGTGTTCCAGCAGCTCAGCTAAATGGGCTCTCCATGTGGAGTGTCCATAAACACACCCTGTGGATCTGTCTATTGGTCTGACAGTTGTACATTCGCTGTATAATACTTGTGGGCTCGCCATAGAGGGTAATTTGGTGACACCGGTTTGGAGCACATGCATAAAAATGCCAACTGTGTATTCCGAATGAACTCTTAGGGAAAACACCTATTTACATCTTAAGCCTATGCATTGATCGAGCATTCATCTGAAAAAACCAGATGCATCATGGGAAGGGACATGTACAGTGAGAAAAGGCTTACACAATTCAAGCCTGTCAATCATAACAGAGACCCACTCATAACAACCCTTTATTAAGCAAACTCCCCCTCAGCTTCATTGGCAATCAAAATATAAATTACATGTATAAAATAATAGTATCATTTGATTAGCATAAATTAAAGGTCTGACAACACCCAGCACTGGTGGCATTAGCTTGTAATACTGAACATCTGGAGCTGGAGAAATGGCTCAGCAGGTAAAAGAACTGACGGTCTCCAGCCTGAAACTGAGTTCAGATGACCAGAACCCACATGAAAGCCAGACATGGTCACACATATCTGCAATTCCAACAGTCCAGGGGTGAAACTGTGGGCAGAGACAGGAGAGTTCCTCCAGAAGCTCACAGGCCAGCTAGTCTGGAATACCCAGACGGTGGCAAATAACAGAGATTCTTCCTCAAATGAGATGAAAGCCAAGGGCTGGTATCCAAGTGTCCTCTGACCTCCACAGCAGGCCATGGACTACATATACCCCCCACACAAACACATACTCACCTGTACACACATCATATGCACACAAATTTATGTAAAAAATAAATGAATGCATTTTTAAATCTCCAGAACCCTTATTAAAAAACAGTCATGGCTCCACACATCTGTGACTCCAGTTCTGTGGAGACAGGAAGATCACTGGCCTAACTCCAGGTTCAGTGAGAGACCCTATCTCTAAGGAATAAGCACTAAGGAATAGAGTGGCAACCACCAACCTGCTCTAGCGTCTGCATGTACACACAGACCTACACGCATATATCTATGAACACACAAATATATACCACACATATAAACACACAAACACACACCCATACACCACAAAAATAAAAATAAATTGAACATTTGCTAAATTCTTCTACTCTCTGTAGAGATACTGAAGAAGTTCTTACAAATAAACACCAAAAACTTGTAAAAAAAAAAAAAAAGGAAAGAAAAAAAGAAAAACCAGATGCTCATTAACAAGGCAAAGATAAATTATAGATTTTCATATAATTTAATATAATTTCATATAATTAATTTATTCAATACGGCCATGAGAAAACCTCAGTTAAAATAATTATATTAGGTTCATAATATAATGCCGAGTGAAAAAAATAGTCATTCTTAGAAAGTAAATATGGGTTGCAATCAGAGGAAGTTATATAGGTAACTCAGGACTTACACAGCTTAAATAGATGTCAGGATTCATAAGTTCACTGATTTTATGAAATTACACACACAATTCATTTCAAAGTCAAATATAGCTAGGGATATTCTCTCATTGGTAGAGTACTTGCCTCAATGCATGAAGCACTGTGTTTGATCCCCAGAAACACAAGTAAACTAAGTGTGGTGTTGTACACCTGTAGTCTAGCACTTAAGGAAGGAGAAGCAGAAAGGTAAAATAAGTTCAAGGTCGTCTTTGGAATTAAATAAGGCCCTATCTAAAAAAAAAAAACAAATCAAATGAAATAAGATAAAATAAATTGAGCTGAATATTATGCTAGGCATGGTGGCACACGCCTTTAGTCCCAGCACTTAGATGGCAGAGACAGGCAGGCAGTTTGAGGTCAGCCTGCTCTATAGAGTGAGTTCCAAGAGAGCCAGGGCTACACAGAGAACCCTAACCTCAAGAAACCAAAATAAATAAATAAATAAATTGAGCTGAACATTATGACAAGAAATTGAATATTGATAATTATGAATAAAAGAGGTATTAGGGGCCAAAAAAAAGCATCCGGGAGTCTGGGGGAAGCTGTTTCAGAGGCCAAGGTGAGAGAGTGATTGCAGCAGCAGAGCAAAGAAAGTGATGACTGCTTTGGGATGGTGTTACAAGTTGGATTTCCTGGAATGTTGACCCTGAGGACTAGGTTGATAGTTGGGGGTTAAGATCTTAAATGTCCCCCAAAGCCTTTGTGACCAGCTTGTGTCACTACTGGGAAAATATAGACCCTTTAAGAAGAAGGACCCAGGGGGCTGGAGAGATGGCTCAGAGGTTAAGAGCATTGCCTGTTCTTCCAAAGGTCCTGAGTTCAATTCCCAGCAACCACATGGTGGCTCACAACCATCTGTAATGAGGTCTGGTGCCCTCTTCTGGCCAGCAGGCATACACACAGACAGAATATTGTATACATAATAAATAAATATTTAAAAAAAAAAAAGAAGAAGGACCCAGTGGAAGGAAGCTATGCCACTGGGGAAATCAGGTTGCCCTTGAAGAACCCAGCTCCTTCCTCTAGCTCTTTGCTTCCAAGATACTCTTTGGTGAGCAGATTCCTCCCCCTCCATCCCCAGCATAATGTGCTGTGATACCACATGCCCAAAGCCAAGACACCAAACCACCATGGCCTAGAATTCTGGAATCATGAGCCAAAATAAATTCTCCTTTTACGTTATCTTAAGCAGTATGTCCTACTGACAAATAGGTTGCTAACACCAGGGCAGGAATGTCCACTGTACAGGATTCTCAGGATCAACAACTGTGAAAGAGGAAGAAAAGGAAGGGAGAAAAAGACATAAAAGGAACTGGACAGTGAGAAGTCTCAGAGACGCTCAGCTGATTCTACAGCAGCTCTAAAGCCAGAGTGATATTTCAGAGCTGCCTGTGCACCAGAGGGGTCATGTCTATACAGTCTAATATCAATCAGTTTTGTAAGGAGGATGCTAGCAACCAGGAAGAGGTTGTGTATTGTGGGGTAGTCGATCACACTATGAACCCCGAGTTTGCATTTACATTGATTAAATAAAATTAACCTTTGGTCATAAGATTGAGTTAGCAATTAACTGACAAAAGAATAATCAAAAAGCATAGGGGGCAACCAGGAGAGACAGAGAGACACAGGAAGTAGTAGGGAGGGATTTGGAGTAGCATGACTTTTTCTGGTATGGCAGAGCAAAGGTGCAGGGCTTTTGGAGATGGCATCAGGAGACAGGGTTAGCTTTTCTGTTGCAGTGATTAAAATGCCATGACCAAGGAAATTC